ACAGTTCAAATCCACTAGCTGCTCTGTAGGAGAAAGATGGGCAATCTCCTTCTGTGCAATTAAAACTGCTTGTGGAAACTGGCTGGAGGGTCAGGAATGGTTTGATCCTGATTCAACAGTACACAATAACTATTTGTCCCAGATTTCCATCAACAGCAAGGACGCAGAGAAGAACAGTAAGGAGACCTGCATGATTTTGGGTGTATTGTAATACTGTTTAGTACTTGTGGTGTCAAGTGTTTATTGTCAAAATGGTTTCCGAGCCATTGAGTTTGACTTTACCCCATAGATGGGTGGGGTTATGCAAATAGGGCATGTTAGTCAATTCACAAGGGGATTGGCTAGTCTTACCATTAAACTGAATTAATTTAGCAGCAGAATTTGGGGAATCTACACACCAACAAAGAGGGAATGGCCTGCATCTTTTGGGGCCAGAGATACCTGCATCAACCAGACCAGGCTTATAGGAGCAGAGGCAGCAGCTGCAGCAGAAAATTAGAGACCCCACATGAGAAAGAACTGACCTTGGGACTTCTGCCCCATGAGGCCACAGCCAGCGGCCTTTACCCCAGCTTGCTGGAGAACTGAGGGAAGAAGCTTTAACTGGCAAGATTAAGAGAACTTTGTAACACTGACCTCAGCCGTGAGGCTGCAGGTGAAAGGGCCTGCAATCACACTTGAGGGTTGTCTGTACTGTATTCCTGCTGACAACCTGAATTATAGCCTATTAACTTGCCCAGTAAGCTGCATAACTGTAAATATGTTTCTCTGTGTTCTATGTAGCTATTGCAATGGATTTCAGACACAATAGGGGAATAGGATTGGTATTGAAATTGGGGTGTAGCATGGGGGACATGGCTGACCTTGTGGGAAATGGTTTTGTGTTTTGGATATTGTTGATGGGGCAGACCCCCTGAAGAAGTCAGATATGGCCATTCTCTCACTGCCTTTGCTCCTCCATCTACTGCAAATTCAACGAGTTCATACTCAAACTGTGTCCTGATAATTTTATAAATAGCTAGGTAAGAAGCAAAGAAGGCAAAGTTTATTTCCCGATAAATATCACAGTCTGACTGAGGAGAGAGGCTATTTCAAAGAAACTCTATTATCATTTATTTCTAAAATGAAAATGCTATGCCTAATGGCCTAGTGGTAAGAATTTGTGCTGCAATTCTGAAGGCATGCAGTTTGAATCTACCAGCTGCTCTGTGAGAGAAGATGAGCAATCGCCTTCTGTGCAATTACTGCCCTTGAAAATCCACTGGAGGGTAAGCTATGTATGTCAGTTCCAACTCACTGGCACACAACAACAACAACAACAATTATTAGGTAGTGGCTCTGGTGGCCTAGTGGCAAGGAGTTTCACTGCCAGCCCAAATACATGTTCAAGTCCACCAGCTGATCTGAGGGAGAAAGATGGGAAATTTCCTATCATTTAAAGCCTCCGAAAATCTATGGGTGAGTTAGCTATGAGTTAGTTCCCACTAGAGGGCACATAACCGTTTCAAGATTCAGAGATCTGTAGTCATTAAGGAGATCCTAAACCAAAGGCTGAGCCTTTTTAGTGGCTCAAGTCCACTTGAAATATTAACGATGATGATGATGATGATGGATGATGATGATGACGACAATGATGGCAAAGATGATGGTCAGGCTCCTCCCATGTAATTATAGCCTGGGAAACCTGCTGAAGACTCAACTAAGAGTCAGTTATGATTCAAAGGCAATGAGTGAGTAAGTGAAAAATTAGTAAGTATCCAATGGCTTGCTTAGGGACCTCTGGTGGTCTAGAGATGAGGAGTTGCACTGGCAGCCCAAAGGCACATGGTTCAAATCCACCAGCTGCTTCACAGGAGAGAGATGGGCACTTTCCTCCTGTGTGATTTACAACCTCTGGAAATCTGCTAGACAGTCTTCTGAGTTGGTTTTGACTGTTGTTGTTGTTGTTGTTGTGTACCGTCAAGTTGGAACTGACCCATCCCTGACCCTCCAGTGGGTTTTCAGAGGCAATTAATCACATGGGAGGAGACTGCCCATCCTTCTCCCACAGAGCAGTTGGTGGCCTCAAACTGCATGCCTAGGGATTGAAGCACAGTTTCTTATCACTAAACCTCCAGAGCTCCCTAGATGGCACATAACAACAACAATGGCTTAGTTATACCAGTTCCAGCATAGTTACCTATAGACTTACCTGTGACTGAACGAAAGAACAGAGCCCCTGCCAGCTTTTTAAAGTGAGAAAGTGTTTGCCTCTATAGATCTGATTTAGTGGTTTAGGGCCCCTGCCCAAGTCCCTTTGAAATGAATTGCTCCTGAATCATTTTTTTTTCCTTTTTTAAAATTTATATATTAATTTCAGTGAAAATTTACAGAGACTTTGGGTTTCCATTCATTCATTGTTGCACTTTTCTCCCCTCCCAACCCTCCCACCTAGTACACTACCCTCTTAGAAAAGTAAAAGAAAACTTCATTCATTGTTTTACAATCCCTTCCCCCAGGTCCACTCCACTATGCAGCCTTTGCTCTGAACTCCTGTCATGACAAAAGTACCTTATCACATATCCCTTTTAAACAGTTTTCTCCCTCATCTGTTTCAGTGCAGTATACATTATAGAACCCATCTTTCTCAGTCCCCTCAACCCTGAGCTTGGTCCTGTTTTACAACAGTGGCACCATGCAGTATTTGCCTTTTTGTGACTGAGATACTTCACTCAGCATAATGTCCTCCAGAGTCACCCATTTTGAATAATATTGCATGAGTTCCTTGTATTTCAATGTAGCATAGTATTCCACTGTGTGAATATACCACAGCTTCTCTATCCATTCGTTTGTTGATGGACACTTAGGTTGTTTCCAACTCCTTGCTATTGTGAACAAAGCCGCGATAAACACAGGTGTGCATATAGCTGCATGGATGTCAGCTGTGGTCTCTTTGGGGTATATTCCCAGTAGTGGAATTGCTGGGTCAAATGTATCTCTATTTGCAACTCTTTGAGAAAGCGCCATACCGCCTTCCACAGTGGTTGCACCATTTTACACTTCCACCAACAGTGAATAAGGATTCCAGTTTCTCCACAACCTCGCCAGCATTTATTGCTTGCTGTTCTGTTAAATTTTGCTATTCTGTCTGGGGTGAGATGGTATCTCATAGTTGTTTTAATTTGCATCTCTCTTAGAGCTAGGGATTTTTAACATTTTTTCATGTGCTTGTTGGCCATCTGAATGTCTTCTTTGGTGAAGTGTCTGTTCATATCCTGTGCCCATTTTTCTATTGGATTATTTACCTTTATCTTATTGTGATGTTCAAGTATTTTATAAATTCTGGATATAAGTCCCTTATCTCATATGTCATTACCAAATACTTTTCCCCAGTCTGTGGCTTCCCTTTTTACCCTGTTGGAGAAGTTTTTGGATGTGCATTCCTGAATCAAATTTGCTTGTTACATCTTTGGAAAAATGAATACACTCCTAAAAGGAGATGCAGTATGACAGGGCGTGTGAGCTTCATGTTCAACAAAAGAGAACAGATCCAGCTGCAGCAAAGTAGAAAAGTGTGACAGCCTGGGGCTACTCCTGACACCTCCAGAAGCTTCTAGGGGCATGTGGTGGTTGTTCTCAAAGAATTCGGCCAGGAAAGCTGCCAGGAACCAGTCCAAAACCAATACGATTGAGCATGAAATGATGGATTCAAAATAACATGGTGACAGAAGCCATGCTCTTTGGACCTCTGTCTTCCTGAAAGATACTCCCATCAATGTTGTGTGTATTCTTCTGGAATAAGTTAGTGCTTAGGGCGATCTGTGTCAGAAATTCTGTGTGATGTCTCTTACAAAGACCCTAAACATCATGTCCTGAGAGAGGTCACTCACTGTCCTGGAATGTGTGTGTGTGTGTGTGATCCAAATCACTGCTGTCAAGCCAATTCTATCTCATGGTTCCCCTCCATGATTTCTGAGTCTATAAATCTTTAGGAAAGGAGACTGGCTAGCTTTCTACTGCAGAGATGCTGATGAATTTGGACCACTAACATTTCAAGTTAACATGTTAGACAAAATACTACCAAGTGTGTGTGTGTGTGTGTCTCTCTCTCTCTATCTCTATCTCTCTCTCTTTCTCTCTCTCTCCTCCCACCCCCCCTCTCTCCCTCTCTCTCTCTACATTCAAAGTTTTATAGTGTTTGTTAATCCTTACAATAAACTTATAAAAAAAAGTATCCCTTGACTGCAGTTCACTCATTCAACACATACTTATTAAGCAGGAAATGCATGTCAGTGGCCCTGTATTCCTAAAATAATCACCTCAAGGTTGATAATTCAACCCACTCAGCACCATGGAAGAAAAGCCTGGTGGTCATTCTGTGTCTTCAGCGGTACCTCTGGGTGGATATAAGCTACGAACCATTTGTGCCACTCGGGGACCTTCCACTAAAATTGCGGGGGGCTGGGGGGTGGGGGAAGAGCCACCCAAAAGAGTCAAGACTTCCCTGTGGAGCAGAGACCCTGTGCTGCGGGTTACTCTGCAGCACTAGAGTTAAATTTCTGATTTTGGTCTGTGCGTCACTGTGTAAGGGCATCCTGTTGTGAATGATACACAGTCTTTGTCCCCCTGGGGTTTGCTTTCTAAGTGGGACAGAGGGGAGGACTGAGGAAGTGAGAAAATACGATAATTATAAGGAGAATAAAGGCTGTCATGGAAGCCTACAAGGATCTGGGCGAAGGACGGCAGTTAGTTAGCTCTCCCTACGTGGTGCCCTATCCTTCGGGAACCCCCAGCTCTAGCTCCCCTCTTTCCTTACCTATAGCCCAGCGCCCCCTCTCTTCTCTTTCACCTCCACCCCTCTGTCCTCACCTTCTCCATCAGTGGCCTATTTCTGGCTCCAGGTACCCTACCTGTAACCGTCCCCATCCCTGCGCGCATGCGCAAACCCCAGGCACACCCCTGCCTGTGGCCCCCACCTCCAACTGCAGTCCTGCAAGGCCCTCAGCTGGTGCTGACCCACCATGGGCAACGAGGAGAGTTACCCCAACGAGATGTGCGTGCAGTTCGACCAAGAAGAAATTAAAAGGCTGGGCAAGAGCTTCAAAAAGATGGACCTGGACAGTTCGGGCACGCTGAGCGTGGAAGAGTTCATGCTCATGCCCGAGCTGCGCCACAACCCGCTGCTGCAGAGACTCATCGACATCTTCGATGCGGACGGCGACGGCCAGGTGGACTTCAAGGAGTTCATCATCGGGGCCTCGCAGTTCAGCGTCCGGGGCGACCAGGAGCAGAAACTGCGCTTTGCTTTCAGCATCTACGACATGGATAAAGACGGCTACATTTCCAACGGGGAGCTCTTCCAGGTCCTGAAGATGATGGTGAGAGGCAACCTGAAAGATTCACAGTTGCAGCAGCTCGTGGACAAAACCATCATCATCCTGGACACGGACGGCGATGGGAAGATCTCCTATGACGAGTTCTGTGCAGTGGTCCGTCGCCTGGAGATTCACAAGAAGCTGGCACTGCTGATGTGACCCCTCCACGAAGTGAGCCCCAACGCCTGCCCTCCATCTCACATAACTTACGAGTGTTTGTGTTTGTAAAGCCACATTTTCTAGCATAAAACTTATCACCAACTCTGTTACTGAATGCTTCTCTCACCATTCAAGGAAAAAAACCCAAACGCCCAGGGGAGGAGGGCAGGATGAAAAAGAAAAGGAAACTGGCTTTTAAAATGTGGAATTCACCCCTCACTATGCTTTGATATGATTCAGAGATCACACGTCAAAAAGACAGAAAGAACTTAAGAAGCTCAACATATGAGTACACACAGCTATGCTTTTATGTCTCTCAAGTTTTATATATGGGAGAAAATTGTACCATTTAAGTCAAATGTTAGGTTTCCTTGTGTTGTTCCAGCAACTTTTGATGAATCAATAAAGTATTGTTCATGTCTATCATTTGTTTTAGAACAGTTTTTAAAAAAAACTAGCTGTCATTGCTGTGATGGCAAATCTTAATATGTGGAGTAGAACTGTGCTTAGCAAGATCTTCAAACTGGACTCTTTTTTTTTTTTTTGGTAGTAAATTGTAGGCCTTTCATCCAGGGTGCCTTTGGGTGAACTTGAACCTCCAGCTTTCCAGTTAGCAGCTCAGTGACCCATCCAAGGACCCCTGCCTTGTCTGTAATTTTGTTCAATGTCCAATGCTCTAGAACTAGCCTTACTGAGGGACACATCTCCCTCCTTGGAGAGCACCTCAGTACTGCCAATGCCCATCTTTCCCTTCCTCTGTCCTCTCCAATGATGCATCTAGAAATTGGTCACCATGTCATAGGTATTCAGGGTCCCTTTGGGGTCCTCTTTTCTCACTGCACTAGATCTTGAAGAGGAACTGGCTTGTCAGGTCTTCACAGGAAGAAAGACCCACATCAAGGGTTGGGCCCAGCAGAGATGCATTTCCACAGTTGACTGCCCACCCTAATAGTAAGCTTCCTTAAGGGGCATTCAGTCAAGTCCAACACTCAAGTCCTACCCCAGGATAGATGAAACAGGACACGTTCAGCATCAGTTTTTCCCAAGGCAGTGAAGATGCTGTGGGCATTCCCCAAGATGGCCAAATGAGGCTGTCCCCTGGGTCTCAGAGGTTTAGAGATTGGCAAGCCAATTCCCCCAGGAGAGGCAAGTGCTGCCTACAGCAGTTAACCAGGTCGGTGTATCCGATCTGCAGCCTGGCAGGGAAGTGGAGGGTTTTCTCATCTCAAGAAGCCTTTGCCCTAAGGTAATATTCAGCCCAGTCCTCACACCGTCATAAAACCACACTCACGAGTTTATGAACTTTGTATGTAAACCAGTATAAAAGAAAAAAAAATGTTAAAGACTAAACAAATGGTGGGAGAGTATGCTGAAGGCTGCTCCCCCGGGCAGGAGCCACAGTGGGTGCTGCTCTCCCCATCTGCATTCAATGGCTTCACGGGCTTAGCTTCAAAGCAGTCATGGTGGGAACATTACATCAGTTGTTCCTGGAAAATCAATTATTCCGTATTTGTGCCACTGTCTGCACCCCAGCTGTTGCCAACCCTCTGCGGTCTTCTACAGCTCAGATAATGTCAGCTCTCAGGACACCACAGCCTGGCTTCAGAAGCCCCAGGACAGGACTGGGTCCAGCACCAGCCACTTCGCCCAATTCTTCCTCATCTTCCTACCAAAGTTGCTCGAGACTCTCAAAATACCAGAACATGAAATAAACTTGCACCAGGCATCCAAGCAATTTTTCTCAAGAAAAACTTGTTTCCAGCACATTTATCTTTCGTATATTTTGGAAAAAGCTGGCAACCACTCTATTATTTTCTAAAAAGACAGAAAAAAGGAGGTCACAAATGCAACCACCAGCAACCAGCAACACCCCCTGCCACCATTTTCATTTATTACATAATTTTATGACATAAAACTATTTCTATATTAGGAAATTGAGTTCTGGTGGTTTAGTGGTAAGGAATTGGACCGCCAACCCAGATGTACATGGCTCTAATTCACCAGTTGCTCCATAGGAGAAATATTAACTCTCATGCAATTTACTGCCTCTGAAAACCCACTGGAGGGTCAGCTACAAATCTGTTCTGAGTGTTACATGACAGCACTTATATATTAATATATTTATGTTGCTTTTGTTATGTGCCATTGAGTTGCCTGCAACTCATAGCAACCCTATGTGCAACTGCCCTAAACCCTGCTGTCATGTGCCAATATTACTGTATCTGACACACCTGCCCTTTACCCCGACACTAAATGAATCCATCTCATCAAGGGTCTTCCTCTCTTGTGTTGTTCCTCCACCATCCCAAGCATAATGTCCCTCTCCAAAGAATGGTCCCACCTTGCAAGATGTCCAAAGTATGTCAGACGAAGCTTCAGAATCCTTGCCTCCAAAAACCAGCCTGGTCTCATCCTCTCTAGGATGAATTTGTTTGTTCTCCTAGCAGTCCATGGTATATTCAATACGATTCTCCAGCATCGCAGCTCAAAGACATCAATTCTCCTTCTGTCATCCCTAGTCATTGTCAACTTTCTGATATAGCAAGTAATTACAAAGACTATAGCCTGGATCAGGTCCACCTTAGTCTCCAGATTGGCATCGCTGCTCTCCAGTACTTTGGAGAGATCTCGGACAGCCAACTTTCCCAATGTACATACTTATTAATATATAAATATATTTATGTATATTATTAATATTTGGAGGTAGGAATGGCATCCACTTTCTAAACAACTTGCCTCCAGAAACTCTATGAACTCTGATAAATGTTGATAGTTGTAGAGGGGCTTCAGGCCTTTTGTTCATAGGGTTGCAATGAGTCGTGATCTACTTGAAGGCAATCAACAACAACAATTATAGATATAGATAGAGATAGATATATAGATAGATA